CCTGCACTACTCTAAAAACACCCAGATACATATGTGTGTATATAGACTAAATATTTATTTATATGCCTAATTCCCTTCCATTTTTGACTGGACAGATCTTGATAAACAGCATGAATCATGAACTTTAGATAGAAGGCAAATGCTGTCCAATTCTGACAGGATTAATTCTGGAGAACATTTAAGTCACAAAGTTTTGAGATAGTTCAGGATGAGGTGACAGTCAATGACAAATTTTCTGCATAACTTTGGAAATGGGTACTTCAATTAAAGCTTTGGGTTTTTTCACTTAGCTCTAGCCCTCCTGGACTCCTACACATTTTTTCTGTCTAGAAGTTTCAGTACAAACTCATGACCCGAACATCCATGGCTCTTCAGGAGTAGACACTTAATGCTTCAAAAATAAGCACTAGATCAAATAATTCCTTCTAGTCTAGCTCTCTCATTCACTGGAGTCTTTACTGGTCATGACTTTCTAATTTGCTGGCAGCCCAGGTCTCAATTACTCAGTGAAAGGTGCAAGTACTCAGTGTACCTGAAAATGAAATCTCAGGACAGGGAAATCTAAAATCAGAGGCACCCTGAATAAAGTAGAACTCTTGAATATTTGGCAGCACACAAAATGAACAAAACATCTTAGAAAGAGGACCAGTAGCTCTAGATAGAACGTGTATCTGTGTCAGAAAGTGGAATTCAGTGTGCAAAACAAATTGAGTTAAATAGTGTGTTTAACTCATTACATCAACTTTTATATCTCTCATAGTTACAGTGATTCAAGGAATATATTACAGGTTTCTTGAACAAATGGAGCCTGCCCACACTAAATGAGTCAGATAGAAATCAATTACATTGTAGACTCTTTACTGTGGAAATAATCAATGTCATCATTGTTCCCTTCCTAGCAACAAAATATTGGTCCTGGTCAACCAATCTTTTTAAGCTGGTTTGCACAAAACACTTTTAATGGTTTTTTATATTGTTTTGTGGGTCCTTTGAAAATGGTATCAAGGCCAAATATTAACAGAACCTTTTTTTAACATGGATAGCACTCTTTAGTGTAGTAATTCATTTTTAGTGTAGTAATTCATTTTTTGTTTGTATTGAACATCGAAGAAGCAGACCTTAAGTTTTATCATATTCTGTAATGTTTTAGGCTCAGATTGCCAAATGTATTTGTAATGGCATAGTCATCCTGGAGTCTTACTCTCAGCAATGGAACAGGAGCTAGAGTGGGAGATAGATGAGATACTACTCTAAGTTTTCAGAACTTACTGATTTGTATCCATTAGCTGTTCCTGGGAGAAGAATAGGAGCTGTATCATATGCCAAACCTTCCAAAATGTTACATCTGCTGGGAATGCTGTCCTATTCAAGGATTTATGGGAGCCGGAAAATGAGATTCATAGAAAACAGAAAATCCATTGTATGCATTATTTATTTTCAGTGTGTGTAAGTCCATACTCTTTCTAAACAAATACAGTTATGTGTGATCCTTTTTATATCACCAGGTTTTATCAATTTCCATTATTTTCTCTAACTTATCCCTCAAGGACTCATATATATCAGCACACACTGAAAACAGATGTTAACACTGTGTGTGTTGTTTACACCTCTGGTCTTCATTGGACTCCCTGAATTCCAGATGGCAGATAGTCATTCTGTTGTATGGATAAGATTAAAATAGTTTGCTTTCAAATCTGCATATCTGGCTGTGCTTTGTAATTTTAATTCTAATGTCTAGACCAACCTTGTTATGTCCTTTTCACCTCTTGTACTCTTCCCATTTTGTAATTTGTTGTCATCTTGTCATTTGCTGACAATAGAAAAAAAGATTCCCTCTTTCAGCCACTGCTTTTGACTATTTTGCTCCCCACTGGGGGTAGAGGGGGAGGCACCACCACACCTGTTTATATGATTTGCTCAACAGAGATAGTAAATTTTTGCATAATTTTCATGTCTTATTAATACTTAGTTTTATTGGTTCTTTATCTACGTCTCTCAAAGTGCATACAAGCTTCCTTTAAACTGCAGTGAGAAATAAAGTAGCATGTCTGTTACTGGATTTTTCAGAACTTCCAAGCATGACCTAATCCATACTAGAGAAAGTCTTAAAAGATCTGGAATCCACAGATCTGCACTATTCTAATCACAGGCCTTATTAAAGCTAAATCTTATATAAGCATTTCCTTTTCAATGCCTCTATTTCCCACTTTTTATCTCTTATTTTCAATGTACTGCATGGCCTTCCAGAATGATGTATTCTCCTCTGTATGCTCAAACTAACTTTATGTTAGTTAATATAAATTATTCTCAATTTATACTCTATAAATAAGACCAGGCACATGCTACTGTAAATTATTTATTCAGTGCCATTATATTCATGACACTTTGTATAACAAATCAAGTCCTAAGACAAAATTCTGCTGCTTTATCTAGGCCTCATCTGGAATAAGTCCATGAAAGTCTATATTAAACTAATATAGATCAGTAGTAACTTTAAACGATTTAGTCATAGTAAAATAAGTTTAGCTGTATAGTATTTGGTCCATGATCTTGGCTTCAAAAATGCATACTTCAAATTTGGCAGAGTAAAGGAAGCAGGAGAGAGCTGAAATCCCCCTCCTGCACACGCAGTCCTCATCCTCAGTTCTCATGTTTATATGCAAATGTCCCTTTATTTCTGCAGATGAAAACACTTCTGCACTCAGGCTGCAAAATCAGAAGAAAATGTGTTTCAAATTACAAAATGGAAATGCCTTGTGGTATCCTCATTACAGCAGACAATACTCAACACTGATATAATATCAGAGGATTCCATCTGAAGAGGAGGCTACATAGGCAGGCTGTCTACTCACCTTCACCATCACCCACAAAGAGCTGAGCACCCCAAGGCTCATCCATGACCCGTCCTGCAAAGAGATCGAGTACAGTACTGACAACAGAATTTCGTGGAGGAGAGCCCCCTACACACGCCTAGGAAAAAGAAGGCTGTGTAATTACAGAGATTTAGATAAATCTAGAAGGTCTTTGAATCCACATCTCTGCCAGGTCTGATTCAATCTTTCAGACATGCATGACCTGACAGGAAAAATGGTTGCCTTTAGCAACACAACCAGGTGAAATAAGACCAAGGTGTGCTGATCACAACCTCAGGGCCCTGCACTCCAGAACCACACTGTGCTGTCCTGCCAAAACACTCGTGCTCCTGCTACACTCCTTGGCCTGATCTTGACGGTATTTCACTTGCAAAATTCATCCCGAGCTTAGCTGAAGTCACGCAGCAGTCACATATTCTGGTTTATGGCTACTCAGCCCCATTAAGCAGATGAGAAGAAAATGGAAAAGAAACAGAAAAGGTAAAAAATTTCTTTCCATGATTGAGCCAATTGCTCTTATATTAGCATGAGCAGTTCCACCATGAGATTGTGATCACCTCTGATGGTGTTAGGATATTTAGATGGGCTGCACCTGAGACTCAAAAATGCACTTTAATTTTTATTTGCTTAATATACCACATGCTGCCTCATAAAGAGAGGAATTGACAAACACTACTTAATAAAAAAGACTTCCTCTAGCACTTTCCATCTAATGATCATCAAGCAGTTTACAAGCAGGACTGAAGCTGGTTTTATTTGTGGATAATAATAACCACATTTTACAGAGAGGAAAATAATCTAGCCATAGGAACACATTTTAGTTGACAACATTAACCTTATCTAGCACGTCAGTGACAGATTTCACACAATGAATAGAGGCACTCAGAGCTCTGCAGAGTAATCAGGTCCCGGCTGTTCAGCTGAGAAATCACAACCATGTTATCATTCCTGTATCGCTGGGTCAAAAAGGGACTGCAGTTCAGAAAGGATTCAGAAAACATTGCCTTGCAAGGGGTCACCCATGTATTTCAGTCATCACCTGACTGTGTACCTTGGTACTGAGAAAAACAGGAGCCTTGTGGGCCCTGGTCACTGCCCAGCACTGCCACGGGTAAAGGCAGGGCCCGCCCGGGCTGGGGGCAGTGACACGGAGTGGGCACAGAGACACTGTGCCTGCGCTTTTGCCATTCAACTTGTTTTTCCTTTTCAAGGAGACGTTGCTGTTGATGTCCAACTTCGTGAGAGCGAGTAAACACTGAGGAAACCAGACCTGGAGAACAACCCATCAAGGTCCAGAGGAAAGCTGCCAATGCTTTTAGATGACTCCGGTTTCCGTCAGTTCGCAGGTTAGGAACAAGCCGAAAAGGACGCAGATCTATTACTTTATTATTACTCATTGAAAAGCCAGCGCATCTCTGGGGCAGGTCCCACCCGCAGCCACCGCGGCCGCCCCCCTCACACGGCGGTGCCGGAGCCGCCGCGCTGCCCCCGGGGCTGTCCTAGAGGAGCCGCTCGGGCTGTCCCATGGGAGCCGCTCGCTCCAGAGCCACCTGCCCACCGCTCCCTGCCCTCGCACCCGCCCGACTCGGGCTGCCCCCTCCGCCCTCAGCGCGGCCACCGCCGCCACCGGGCCCCGCGGGGCCTCCCCGCCCGCGCCAGGCGCCGCCCCCGGCGGAGGCGGTGCCGCCCCCTCTGCCCGGGGCCCGGCGGCGGCGGTTCCCGGCAGCGGCCGCGCGGGGCCGGGCGATGGCGGCGGCGGGGGACGCGTTCCTGCGAGCCCGCGGCAGGACCCTGACCGCCTTCCGCCCAGGTACGGCCAGCGCCGGGCGGCACCGCGGGCGGGCACCGGCGGCTCTTGCCCGCCGCGCCGCCGGGCGGGAGGGGCGTGCGGTGCGGAGGGAGGCCCGGGGCTTCCCCGGCGGCGGCGGGAGGAGCTGCCGCCGGGGAGGGGAGGCGAGGGGGGCCGGGCCGGGGCTCTGGGCCGATGTCGGCGCCCGGAAGGCCGCGCTGGGGAGCGGGTGGCGCGGGGCGGCCGCGGCAAGGGGGGACTTGAGGCTGTGGCCGCCCCGCGGGGCCGGGGCCGCCCGGGTTTGTCACCGCGCTCTGGCTCTCTGAGGATGCCGGCGGTGCCCAGCGCCAGAGTCGTTTTCAGATGCTTGTCCGTGCTCCTAAAGCTGACCTGCATAGCCTGTGTTGGCACCAGCGCTGTGCTGGCGTGTGTTTGTACCTGTAAGGGTGACCGAACAGGTTACTGGTAGGTCACTGGTTTTGTTATTTTAAATGAAAGGCAGTCGTGCAATGGTTCGCAAGTAGGGAAGGTCCCGCTTCCTTCAGGGACGTCCAGCCTGTCTCAGGGTGCAGGTCAGCAGCACGGTTCCTCCCCAGGCCCTTCCAGGCTGTGCGGAGGCAGCACTGGGATCCCCTCGGCTGTAGCTCCTCTGGGGACGTGATTCCAGACTCCCCAGGTGAATAAGTGAGGAGGCCGTGCCAAGCCAACGCTGGCACAGCCACCTGTGGCTGTGGCTGGACTGACAGGGGAGCGTGTTGGACAGCTCTGTGTATGTCACCTGTTGGTAAAAGTCTCCCAAGGATGGAGGTTCTACAGTGTACGAAGGTTTCCCAGGGGCACAACTAACTCTGTTTTAAGAAATCTTTTCCTATTGCCGTGCGTGGAAGGTCTTTTATTTCCTTGTATTTATGAATTTCAGGTTGTATTGGTTTGGTGAGGTCGGCAAGGCTATTCAGTCCCTACAGTTTTGTGGTATTTTCTTGGGTTTCGCTGGAAATATTTGGCTTTGCTTGTTGCCAAATAAAGAAAAATCACCAACTCGGAGCATGTGAAGTATACGTATACAGTCATTCTGGCAACCTATTAATTGCAGATGGTCTGGTTGGTTTGGAACAGAATGCCTAGCATTTGCTGAGGGGACAGATGGCAGACAAGCCATCTAGTTATATCAACTGTATGGTGAAATTGTAACAAAAGGAATGTTCAACAGCAGTGTAAAAATTTCTGAATAAAAGCTTTATCTAAGTACTTCTTGAAAATTGCCATAAGCATGGAAGAAAATATGTCATTTGGGAATCTGTTTTCCGAGTGTGCTTCTTTCTCCTGAAGTGTCCTTGTTTGGAATTCTTTAAAGATTAATTGACGTTTTTCTTACCACTGGTTGTTTTTAATTTTGTTCAGGCTTTGTTAGGTGACCATTGTCCAGCTACCATCTTTGGATGCAATACTTCTTTGTAAATAATTTACTTAGCCCTTTCTTAACAGACTAAAGTTCAACACAACTAAATGATTGGGGAAAAAAAAAACAGAACCAAGGGCTGATAACATTGAAGCAAGATTTCTTGCAGTTTAAGATGCAAATCAGTTCTCTGTGTTTTGTTGCTTTCCTCAGTCTTTAGGTTTCACTCCTGTGTAAACTCGTAGCTACACAGAGCATTTACTGCCACTGCTATGGCTTGGCACACCTTTTCCTTTTATAATTTGAGACCCATCACTGAGAGCTTAATTGTGGTTTTTTTCTTATTACCCTTTCTGCAAAATCACTCTTCTACACCCTGATATTTGTTCAGTCTGCTTTTACGTAATGTGGATGTTATACCTGTAACCTGCTCTTTGTTATGGGACGTGAATCAGGAACTAGAGGTTAGTGACCTAAATTATCCATGTAATCAATGAGACACAGCAGTAAACAGTGCACAAATATCCTACTTTATTGGCAGGAGACCTTTCTATGCTCTGGCTTTACTTTTGAAATAAATTATCTGTCTTTTCCACTCGTGCGAAATTATGCTTCAGATGTCAACTACTTCTATTAGTATTTTAGTGAAGAAACAGGACCATATGTTTGGGTAAATGCTGTCTTCACCACTTCTCTCCAAAAGTCATGGGGTTATTTTGTTTTGGTTTGTTAAGTGTTTTTTTTGCATGCTGTGCAGAGAATTCCTGTGAAAGTAGGTAAACACTTTTTTCAAGTAACTAACGAAGTGATAGTACTGTCAGTTTAACTGGTTTAGAAGTGTCTCTTTGAACCTGTCTTTTGCTAGTTTTATTTGATGCTTCCAAAACCTTTATCTGGAGCAGGCAAATAACCCGTGTTGCCTACTCACGTTCTCAGTTATGTGTGTGATTCTATGTTCCTCTGTCATGCCTCCCTCACTAACCTTTTGCAAACTCTTCAAATTTATTCAGTTGCTTCTCATATTTTTTTCATTTTACTGTGTTCTCTATTCCTTTCCAATTCTTTTTTACCATTGCTGAATGTTGAGCTGACTTTGCTTTGTAGCACTTGCTAGAACTATGGTAGTTTATATGAAGTTGGTGATGTTTTTCCCATGTGCACTATCCTGTACATTTTTTGCATTGAAGTTGGTCAGCTCTTTTGGACTGTCACTGTCTAAGAAATCTCTCCCCAGTTCTTCACGACCAGGCATGATTTTCAGGCCACCAAAATGGCTTTGTTTTACCGAATCTCACTTCCTCGCTATTCAGTTGCTGTTACAGATTGTTCTGAAGCTGTTGAGCAGTGTAGGTCCCAGTAAACATCCAGATGGGATCTGTGTATCTTGTCCATTTCTTTTTTTCTTACCAGTTTTCTGTGCATGCAAGGACTTGCTCTCATATTTCAAGACCCAACTTCCTTAGGAGTCTTTGGTGAGTAATTCTTAGATGCCTGTTGGAGACAGGATCAAGTGGATCTCCCTTGTCCATGTAAAAGCTGTTGATTACTCTTTCTGAAGAATCAGTGAGCCCAGTAGTTACTGTCTTTGTTAGAGTTTCCATTCACTTGCCTGTACAGATGCCAGTTTTGCAGTCAGTCATTACCAGATTGCTCAGGAAACCCCTTTAAATGCAGGTGTGACAGTGGCCAGCTTCCTGTTCTTTGGTGCAGAGGAGCTGGTTTTCACTTCTGAGGAGTTCTATGAATGCCACCTCATCTGAGTGGTTTCTTAGTGTTCATGTCTCTTTGTTGAATCACCTCCTGGTATTTTGATTTGAGACAGGTCTGATGCACTTTCTGTTAGGAAGAATTCTCACGTCAGATCTTCGCAGGTTCCTTCCCAATAAACATGCATACAAAAATGTACCTTGTTTTTCTGCCCAGCCTTTGTCTTTAGGTGCATCTTGGTGTCTGGAACATCTCTTAACCTTGGTGAGTGTCTGGCAGGCTACCTGCTCCTAATTCCTCTACAAAAGGCTTTATTAGTTTTCAGATTTATGCTGAAATGTTCTTCATTTTTTTTTAGCTTGACTTCTCAGACTTTTGTATCTAACCTCCCAGTGTATAAAATCTTTTTATTTTCTTTATTTGGATGCTTAAGCTTTTCAAAGGATGCTGTCCTGCTCTAACTATCTTCCTTAAGGCTGTTATTTAACTTGTTTAGACTGTCTGGATTCTTTTTGATTTTCTGAAGTTCTTAGTGAAAGCTGTGCATATGGTCTGAGCCTCTGGGATAGTGTCTTTGAATAGTTTCCATGCTGCCTTCAAGGATTTTTGCACTTTTTAAAAGCATCATAATTACATATAATTCGCCCTCCTTTGAAATTAAATACAACTGCAGTTGATTTCTTATTTTTTCCTGCTTTCACATAAGTGTTGGATCTTGGCACATTACGATTACTGTTCTAGAGCTCTTCAACAGTAATATTTTTGAGCACTGATCAGAACTGCTTCCCAGCTTGCATATTCCATTCCCAATACTGTCTCCAACTCTCATATGAATTAGGCAAATTTTTACGTGGGTTTTGAGCAACTTTCTGTGACTTCACCTTGTCATTATGCAAGCCACCCCCCTTCACACCTACAGTTCTGGGCTGTAAAGTTTTTGTAATGAGTTTACATGTTAAATTTGGGGGTGGGCATAAGGCATGACTAGAATTTAGCATTCTGTAGCCCTCAGTACAAATAAACTGTGCCTGAGAGGACATTTCTTACCTTGATAATTATCTAAGAAGTTTGAAAGTACGTCTTTTGGAAATAGTAGCACTGGCTAATTTATGTGAGAAACTGTGTTCTGTCATTAAGTGTTTCTACTAGCAGAATTTCTGTAGTACATAATTTCTAAAATAATTACTCTTTAAAAGGTTTTATTTTCTCTCTGAAAATGTTTTGATACCTGTTTTGAAGGGTTTTTTTTCCCTGATGCGAAAAATTGCACCTTTCTCAACAAGTTGCCTTAGTCATTCCTCAAAACCTTCAATAGTCATATTTGGTAGACCCTCAGGTGCACATGGAAAATACAGCTGAAAGAAATGCTCATTTCACTAGATGGAAATCTTTTGAATTTGGACATACAGACAATAATGATAGGGTTTTTAGGCCATACCTATTGATAATATTTTAATAAATAACAAGAAATTATTAATAATTTAGTGCAAGTCCTTTATTGGTTTTCAAGCTATTTCAGGACTGAACGTAATAAAAACAAATTTTTGCTTATTGTATTGTCTATGTTGTATACATACTGACCTCACTTAAAAGATTCCATTTCCCTTCCTGCATTTAGGTTCTTTGGAAAACCAAGGTTGTGCTTCTTGCTTAATTTTACTTAGAAAAAGTCTCACAATTACACTCAGAGACAGCACAAGGCAGGAACCATGTATCTATTTCTGCTGTTCTCTCATCTTTCAGAAAAGTGAAATCGTTTCTCCTGCCAAACCCAACATGACAATGAGGGCACTTTCCTATTTATTATTACCCATGGCTTACTGAGCAGGCACTGGACATGTGTCCATGTTCGTTCTCCTCTGACACGATGGCATCTAGAGAGAGACTATGGACAGGAGTAACTTTTCATAACTAATTTGTTTCCACTAAATGTTGCGGAGTGTAGAGGAAGAAGAAAACGAATATACTGCTGAAACCAACGAGTGCACTTTTTAAAAAAATCTCCCCAGGGAAATGCTGGAAATCCCACCTGTACTGTGTGGCTGTCAGAGCCCAGTGGTTCCTGTGAGTGCTCTATAGATGCATGTTTGTGATCCTTGGAGATGGGGAAAGAAGAGAGAGGAGAACTAGGAAAAGCAAAAGGGGAAGAAATAAAGGCCCAGCAATGTTAGCTATTGTCCTCTAGAAATCGTGAGGCTCAGCTGAAATCCCACCTAAGTCCTTGAAGTGTCTTTTTGCCTGTGATCACAATCCGTGGCTGAGGATTTCTCCTGTGAATTGCTGCTGACTACTTCAGTCCTTCACAGAATTAATCCTTAGATAAAATTAGCAGCTGGCACTGTTTTTCAGGCAATGCTACTAAAAATACATTGCATCGATCCTCTGTCTGTACTTTGGAATGCACGGGAGCAGAAAGGGAGTAGGAAGCTATTGAAACTGAGGCAGAACATATCCCGAAGTTGGACATTCTGTGGCAATCAGCAAAACAGCAATTAAGGAGGCCTGGGAACAAAACAAATTTGAAATAGGAGTTTTCAGTGGCTTAGTGTGGAAGAGCAGCACCAGAGACATGGTTTGTCCTTCAGAAATGGAAAGGGGGTGTGCATCAGTTATTGGAGAAGTCTGCTGACTCTTTGCTGCATTTGTGTTTTCTTGTTTTTATGGTAAATTCTGAAGTTGCAAACAGCTTCTGTGTTCAAGGGAATGAGCAGCCAATTTGCAGGGATTCTCAGCTCCACTCAATTTTGTGATGGGAGAAGGCAGAAGAAATTATTGATTGAATCCTAATCTCCTATTGCTTTACCTAGCATGCACCTTGTGTAATACAACTGCCTAGCCCAGCTAAAAGCTTGAAAACTGAAACTCCTAGTGAGAAGGTTCCTTTAATGTTATTGTTATTCCCAGAGAAGCCATTGCTTGCTACGTTTGAAGGGATGATAGTGATTGTAGATGCTGTTTAACTGAAACCTGAAGGAGTAGCATCTAGGACGTGGATCGTGACTGGATGATTACTGCAAAAACAGCTGTTCCCCTTCCCACCACTTGCATCCAATGCTGTTTGTTAGTTCCCTCTGCCAGACTTTGGCATTCCCCTGGCATAGAGGCAGAATGATTTTTTTTGAGCACTCTTGAGATTCAGTGCAAAGACCAAAAAATGGCTCAGACAGATTTTTGTGGTGCCTGACACTGGGCAGATGAGTTTCCTTTGCATGGCCTACAGTACCTGTTCTGCTTGTGGGGGCCAACAAACAGCTGGTGAGGGAGAAAAGTAGGGTACAGAAGTTTTGCTAAGAATTATCAGGAGAGGGTTCATTGGTCAATCATTTAATTGTCAGGCAGAAGACATCTGGATCCATCTGTGGTTGTGGAAGATGCTTTTACCATCTTCCACTTTGCTGCCCTCTCACCATATTGCCTGTTGAAAGAGCTCTTGTCCAAGCCTATTCCTGGACTTTTAAGTAAAATTACTAAAATTGCACTGGTTGCAACACTTGGAACTTCAGCTGGATGGGTGTTATGCCTTCCACAGATAAGGAAAAACTTGCATAAACTCCTCTGAAGACAGACCAGTGAGGGCAGTGAAGAGTTATTTCCTGGGTGAGCTGAATTCAGAACAGGATTAGGGGTTGATGCAGCAGGTGCAAGTTTGCACTGGTAGTGTTGTACCAGTACAACTCTCTTCATGATATTCTGCTTTTATTTATAGTACTTTATAGTAATTAAAGCACATTCCTGATTTAAAAAAAAAAAAAAAACAAGTAGTAAGTTTAAACAGTGTCCTTATTTTGTTCCCATATACTTTTGTTTTGTGGGGAATAAAATCACTAAGTACCACTTGATAACTAATAAGCTAATGGAATTTGGTGTAAGTACTAGGGTTATTTGTTTTTAAATAGTGTTTCTAGTTGGACTGATCAAATAACAAATCAAAGGTAGAAAATATTCAACCTTACTCTTATTTTTGTAGCTACTTGATAAGTTATTGAATGCCACAGAAACAGCTATTGACTGAATTATTTGACTAAGACCAGTTAATTAAACTAGCATTTTAAGTAAATGTTATTTATGGTAGCCCTGATTCCTGGATCTCTTCTGTTGTCCCTGCTTCACTTTTTTCATTTTATATTTTTCTTTCCTACAGGAGAATATAGCATATACCTTTGCATCATTTTCAGTTCCTTTCTTTTTTCACCTCCTATCTCTTTCCTTTTCTCCCCACTCTTCACCACCTCCACCCCTGCATCTTCTGTTTCTCTTTTCTTCTGCCACTTCTTGATTCTGTCTGTGTACTGAACTTCTTTTTTCAAATTCATCTTATCAGTCTCTCTCTCTGCCTCACATGACCATCACTCACCCACTCAAACCAGAGCATCTGTGCACAGGCTTGGAAACATTCAGGTACTTAAAACCTAGACAGTTCCTGTATTGGCATGAACATAAGTCAGGAAAATAAAATATCCATGAAGCTTATATTAGAATAACCCCTGCTCTGGCTTTTCAACCTGTTTTGCATCAGCTGTGCATGTGCCTTGTCTGCTTGCCAGACTGCTGTGTGCTCAAGCATTATATATGAAGCTCCTTGTTACCTGGGCCCTGGGCCAGTCCTGCTGCCTGTGCCTCCCATCCTGGACTGCTGCAGGTGCTCCAGCTGCCTTTGGACAGACACTATTCCCTTCCAGAAGGGGAAACACAGCCTGGCCATAATTGATACTTAAAACAAAGACTAGCTTTCTTTTCTGAGTAGTTTCTGTAAAAATAAATAAATGTTTCTGTATTTTACTTAGGCTACTACAGTAAAAATTCCTGGCTTGAGATTAATCAATACAAAACAAGTAGATTTTGCTCAGTGTTGATTATCAATACTGTCCAGAAAAGGGACAGGTGTTAAAAATCCTGCCATGTTGTTCCAAGATTTGGTATTTTTCCCCATTTAATGAGTTTGAGAATTGTGCCACTCCTCTGAACCAAGTTCCTGTTTCAGACATTCCCTTTTTTCAGTTTCATTTTGTAAAGGTCATTAAGGATTTCTTATGCAAGCTTCCTTAACTGATTTTTATTCTATGGTTTTCCACTTATAAAAACTGTAAGTTGATTTCTCTGCACAAACAGTGCCTTTGATGCAGCATGTAAGCTGCTTTTTATGGCAGTCATATCTTTTCATGCAAGTCATAAAATAAAAACCTAAATTGCTTTGTGTCACTCAACTGGTTCCATAAAGCTTCTGTTGCAAACTCATGGATAGATGGATCATTTCAGTTCTTCTAATAAGTTATGTAATTTTAATTCAGAATTAAAAGCTAATGAGTGGCTAAAAGTTTCTACCTATAAAATACGTGATTATTATTTCAAATAAGTCAATGCTGGTATATAAATAATTTTGTTTAGATATTAAACATTACTTTAACTGAAGTGTGGAAGCTTTCATTTGGCAAAATGATCTGATGCCATAGCAACAGATGGCAATTCCAAGCAGCTTCTGGGAGTTGCCCACATTCCTTATCCCTCACCCAGCCTATCCATATCCTCGGTGCCAGGAAGGAATTCTGACCTCTGTTTTCCAACCTTCCTTGAAAGAACCATAACCCCCTTCTTGCAAAGTAAGAAGCTCCAGTTCTTGTGGAAGGAAACCAAAAGCACATTCAAGGTGGACATGCTGCTTGCTTCTGTTACTGGAAGACCAGTTTTGCCTCAAACTGAATTTCAGATCAGATTTACATAATATGGAAATATATTTATGGATTAGATTTTAATTTTAAATAATTTGCTGTATCATTTTCTTTTTAGATTCAGCTGTAGATTAATGTAGTCAGTGAGTTTTTAACAGTTTAAATGCTGTTTAAAAAGAACTCCAATAACAGTAAATGTATTAAGCCAAATACAGCTCTCAAAACTGAAACATTCAAGTTACAAATGAATGCATACAAACAGCTGGAGAAACCAGTGTGCTAGTGTTTGTACTTCAGTTCCAGCTTTTCCCTAAAGCCATGAGAACAAAAAGCATTTAAATCCTTAATAATTTAAGGAAAAGTCTACTGGAACCATAAAATGTGAAACTTTTGTATGTTTTAATTAGTTAATTAAAGAAGCAATAATTGGAGTCTTAAAAGAATCAAATGAAGTCTAACATTACACACTTGTGTTATGTTGTAGTCTTGTAGTTTCCATTTGCTATTTGCTGAATTCTCCACATACTTTTCCTCTAATCAGTCTGTAATTACTGTGTGGTATAATTAGATTAATATACTTTCATTTATTCCATTACCCATTAGAGGAAAAGTTTGTACTTCTGCCTTTATATTTGCCCTGTATGAGTGACTACAGAATTCTGTACTTCTGCTGAAGCAGTGTCAACCTACTTAGGTGAAGAACAATCCATTTAATGATACATGGAAACTTTCATTCTCTTTTAAGTGTCTCTACTGCTTAACTTTTCTTTTTTTTCCCCTCTTTTCATTTCAGATGATGAGTGCCAGTGGAAGGGGCCCTTCTACTTCATCCAAGGAGCAGATCCTCAGTTCGGACTGATGAAAGCTTGGACATGTGGAGACACTGATAATGGAGATGATGAATGGGGAGAAGAAATCAAATTAGCAGAGCAAGCAGTGCAGGCCATTAACAAGCTAAACCCTAAACCCAAGTTCTTTGTGTTGTGTGGAGACCTTGTCCATGGAATGCCAGGTAAGGCAATTAAGTGCAGAATGGGGGTTGGAACTCCCTTTGTATTTCAGATTGGCAATAAGGCTAATTTACTTTCCTTGACTTCAGAATAGTCTTTTGTAGGAGTTGGTATGCTGCTGTTTTGGTGTTTTGGAAAAGAAGTGTGATTTGTGGATGATTCTTGAGATATTATTTCAATTTCTTCGTCCGACTTCCCGTGTCATTCATTTTAGGGCTGTACTTTCATTAGTTAATTGCTTTCTTTTCACTAGGAAATTTTCTTTGAAATAAAAGTCCTAAGAACACACATTCAAATTACTTCTCCCTAAACAAATTGCTGTGAGAAGATAAATAGGGGCAGTAGCCATTGGGAAAAAACAATGCCAGGAAAATAATAAAAAATGGATATGGCTTTTTGAGTACCTAAAGTGAGTAAAGCTCAGAGAATTCTCTGGCTTTCTAATGCTTAATAAATTCAAATGCTTCAATATTTAAATTTTTTAAATGCTGAAAGTCAAGGAATTCAAGTTTTAGCAGTTCTCTCCTGTTGCTGTGGGAGTTTGAGCTCAGTGTGTTTCTGCATACACTCAGGAAGAGCAACAGACCATCTAGAAAGGTGAGTTACAAAGTTTGACAGCTACAACTTTAAAACAGATTGGTGGTATTATCTATGTGAAGAAGAGAAGTACTTTTCTTGGAAGTGAAATAAAAAGTGATGTTACCTGATGCCAGCTGGTGTGAAAAGCAGATCTAAGCACGGTGTCTGACATTTCTTAGCCTTGATAAGAAGCAGAGCTGCCCACAGCCTTGGCTGTGTGTCTGGGAGCACAGCAATCCACCAAGGGACCTTGCAAATAGTCCTGTGTGCTTTATGTAACACTCTGCCTTGCACTCCACTTGCACCTGAAGTGCTGCTCCCCAGCCCTTGCTGCACAGCAACGTTCTGAGCATGTTGGAGACCTTTCCCTAATTCCTTCAGTGTCCTGCAGTGTTAATTTTAAAGCTTAGCTGTCAAATTGATTGACATTATTTATAGGCTACAGACTTACTTTTGATCAGAACACAATTTTTCTGAAAGAGTGGGAAAGTGTAAAAACCAACAGATTTAAGCTTGATTAAATCTACTGTGTAACACCTCAGTAGCTTGATGATAAAGTGTGCCATTATGGAGTTTTGTTGGTTTATGTGCTTCCATTAATTTTGGAAGTTCAGGTTTAACCCAGAATCATAAAGTAATCTCTTCTTAAAGATCATCTGTCCTTCCTGTAGCAGAGTTTTAAGAAATATTTTGATTAGAACTTTTAATTTGTGTAAGTGTTCCAAATATTTTGTCTTCAGTATCCCTTATAAGAGGAAGGAAATTCAGTATAAATAATGGGTGTTCTACATCCTACCTTTTCAGCAAACAGAGAATCTAAGAATTTTTTTAGCAAATAGAGATTTTCAGGTAAATTGAGCATATAAATGTTTGCAGAACTGAAGACCAGTTGAAATTTCTTCTTTTTGAGGAGAAATTTAAATATTTTCACTGTTCTAGCTAAGGATGTTTAGACCTATGTAATGCATGTCTGTAGTAGAATGGTACTGTAATTATTTCATACTTCTTGACTGAGGAGTCTCTCCCAAGAATAATTGCTCTATCAATTCCCTTATGTTCAATAAAATGCAAGATAAAAAAATCATTTTTTCAGTAGGCAAAAATGAGAAAGTACATGAGACAAGACACTGATTTAAGTTTAACAGTTGTGAATTTGTACATGCATCTTCATGTCTCAAATGGCCTTTTAAATCACTTGTGTATCACCTGTATTAAAACTGAACACATCAGCATTACTGGAGGTGTGTCAGTTGCTATTGCAGCGTGGTTATTGAGAAAGTGAAGTTCAGCTCTGTTTTATGATCTATTGGCCAATGTCTGACAAGTTCTTTGGATTATACTGCTTTATAATCAATGCCTGTCAATAAAAAAGGAGGGACAAAACAGATCTTCCTTGCTTCTCTTAAGACATTATATCTTGGAGTACTAAGTGTAAAGTTTTTGGTGACTGTTTTAAAGCATGCACTGTAGTCATTTAGCCAGAACAATGTGGAAGCCTTTTGCACAGGAACTCCAAGAAATCTCAGAATTCCAACAGCTAGAAGTGATGAACAGAATCCTGATCAGCTGGGAAGCAATCAGGCACAGCACTTGGAATCCATTACAGATGTCATTAGAGCAACGGAGTAATCATATCTTGGTATTTAACTGCTGATTAAAAGTAGTTTGTAGTCTGAAAATTATTTTCAGAAGTTTTTCTTGATTACATAATCAAGAATAGGATATCTATTCCTGGTAACACTAATATTGTGGTACATAATCAAGAATTTTAAGCAATACCTTACAGTGCAACTGTGTCACTGAATATAATTTCTGTAGCCTCGATGCTTACACCAAGATACACCGTGACAATGAAGGGCTTACTTCTGAAGACATTTGTGTGCATTAAATATAATATAACTTACTGTGGCTAAAATGCTAATCTGCAAAACGCAAAATATTGTTGATTGGATAATGTGTTTGTTTCACTGCATTTTTCTTAACCCCTGGAAGTTAATTTCTGAAAGTGTTTTATATCAAGTTGGAACTTTCTATTTTGTTGTATGACAACTTCCCATATTGTTCCATTAACCAACACCCTTTGAGCCCAGCAGTCCAGCCAGTCCCTCACCCATCTTGTTCTCCACTCATCCAGACTGCAACATCCTGACTCCACAGCCAGGGTGGTTACAGGGAGGTGCCTCACACTGACACCAGCCAGCGCTCCCAGTGCTCTTGGATCCATCCTGGCAGGTCCCATGGGCTTCCTTGGGTTGAAACTTTTCGGGAGATACTTGTTCTGTCACTGGTACTTCCTCTGCTCCTTTAGCTCCATTTCAGTGAAGGCAGGCAGAGGAAGGTGTGAGTGCCAGTCACTTGTCACTGCCTCCCTCAGCAGGGGGCCTGTATTGGCTTTATTATTTTATTGCTAAAGTAGTGGTAGAAGCTTTTGCTGCTGATCACACCTTTCACAGGTTTCAGCCCTCAGTGAGCTTTTCCTGACCAGCTCTGCATGACCAGGTACTTTTACAATATTCTTCCTTTCAGGTCTGTCTTTGTTCCCAGCTCCCTTTGACAGCCTTTTTTCATTGGTACTCAGGCATGAATTCCTCGTTTAGCCACATCATTCTCCTTACAGCCTACATTTTTTTCCCCACTTCCCTCAGTATCCAGAAGGACCATTCTTGTGTTAAGAGGAGCTTGTCTTTGAAGACATGTCAATGCTCTCAAACTCACCTTTCAGAGCAGTCTCCTCCAGGATCCTGTACCAGTTCCCCTAATAAGCCAGTCTGCTGTCCTGAGGCCCCAGGTCAGCTCTCTGTCTTCAGTGGCTGCTACAGCCAAGGCTGCCAGGGATTAACACAACCCCCAGCACTGCTGTGATTGTGAGTGGCAGGACCAGGAGAGTGGGGCCTGGATGGCCCCTCTGTGTCAAGGGGTTCTCCCAGACTTCCTCCTGGACTGCTGTCAGCAGGTATCAGGGGGATTAGTCTCCCAGAAGAGCCAGGTCTGTAGCAAAAATCCCACTCTTGGTGGCTGAGATCTCCTCTGATCCACTGACCCAAGTTTAACAAGGCTGGTGTCTGTTCCATAGAGTAGTGCCCTCCAAACTCTGAGGGCAAACTCCCCTGCCTTCTTTCTTGCCTTTCCTTCCTGTTCTAGTTTAACATGAAGCATTGTACTTCCTTCTTCATCCCATACTTCAGGTGTAGCTTGCTGTCCAGGAAACAGTGTCTGCATTTCACCACCTTTTGTCACAACAGCAGAGAACTGAGCTGTTTGCAGCCAAGGTCACCCTGCTGAAGCCACCCAGAAACTCTGACTGTGAAGCTGGGAATCTGGCAGCTGTTTTTATGTGGCCGAATTCCTTTGGAGGAAATGGTTTAAGTACATTTTATTAACAATGCTACTGCTGTCAGTAACTTGATAATTCTAGCCAGCAAAGTTATTTATGCAATGTATTTAGACCAGGTGTTTAATTATTTTTCATTAGTTGCTCTGCCTGCGTGGGTAAAAGACAGCAAGTGTGCTGCAAACTGACTTAACTCTGACTGTAATAAAATGTAGCTGTTTAGAGGCTAAATGAAATGAGACTTGTCTAATATAATGTGTATAATCAAAAAAAAAACCTGATAGAACTTGATTAAGCTTGATCTGTTAGCAATGTGATAATGGATCAGTGAGCCAGTAATGTTTATGCCTGCAGTTTTAGATTCATTTGTGTGTATATGTTAATTACAAAAAGTCAGAATCACTAGAATTGAGTACTTGAAATACACTGCTAGTACTTGTACTGATTCCTTTAGTTAAGTGAAGGCATAATCTCTAATATACACATTTCCTGCCCAGGTCATGCAGTGCTCTGTAATCTGACATCCACCCTTTCTGTCAGTTAAGTCTAAGTAGTGATATTTTTCTTTATTTTTTTCCCCTACTTTTGTTTTATATTATTAAATTGTTTAAGTAACGGATTTCAAATGGTTATTTATAGCACAGTTCTGAAACATTTAATTTTGGTGAAGGAACCTTTAGATCTGCTGTGATGAGTGGAAACATCACCTGACAGGTCAGAGCCATAAGTCTTGTGCTCTACTTCAGAATGCCTTTATTTTGCTAAGAGGAGGGCAGGAGGAGGATGCCCATATCACTTACATCTGCCATTTATGAGGTCATTTTTTTGAAGGATCCTCCTTCTTTTTTATATCCATTTCCAAAGAACAAGTCAATCTAGACAGCTGTGTAAGTGATGGCAGGAGACTAAGCCATTGTATTTGAAATACATTGAATTCCAGTACAAGAATTCTGTTGTCTGCTCTTCTGCCATGCCTTGTCAATTAATTAGGTTGATACTACTTCTTTTTAATTAATCTGCCTATACTTTCATTTCTCTCATTAGTTTCAGAAGCAATTTTCCATCTTGCTTTTTAGTTTGTGCACATCAGTA